TTGGACATCTCGAAAAGGCTTTGACAGGGTCTGGCATTCAGGTCTTCTACACAAGCTGAAAAGCTACAGTATCACTAGGTACATTTTTGAGCTAATTCAGTTGTTCCTATCAAATGATGAAATGAAAATCCTTTCATACTAATGAAGGTGTCCCCAGGGCTCTATCCTTGATCCTACCTTGTTTTTAATCTTCATTAACAACCTTTCCGATAACATCAGCTCTCAACTTGGCATCTACACTGACAACACAGTACCATTTACTCCTGCCTCGATAGTAAGGCCAATCAGACATGGTCAAAATGGCAGCTGATGTACAAAATGACCTCAATACCGTCATTAACTGGGGCAAAAGATGGCTTGTCAATTTTAACACCTCAAAAATTAAACTTCCCTCCATTAATTATATGAGAGACCTCTTGCTGCCTTCTATCAACATGACTGATGCTATCCTCCAAGAAAGTGACTCATTGCACCTTTTCAGGCTAATGTTCTCAGCTGACATGAGGTGGAAAGACTACATTGAATCCATTGATCAGCTGCTAAGAAAGTTGTTTCACCATATCAGGTGAGACAATTTTTCTCTCTGGAATCTATCTTTTATATCTATATGTCTACCATTCACCCATGCTTAGAATATTACTGCCACATATGGTCCAGTGCTTCTGCTGTTTTCCTGGAGCTCCTTGATAAGATCCAAAAAAGAATTAGCAATATTACTGGCCCTGATCTGGCAGATCAGCTTCAGTCACTTGCCTACTGCCATAAGTTTGCCTTTCTGTGCCTTTTTTTTAATAAATACTTTCATGGTAATTGCCCAGGTGAGATCTTCACTATGGTACCCAGACTATGAATTTAAGCACAATACTAGACTGGTGGCTATATCAAGTTATACTTGAATTAGCTAGATGTAACCATAAATTCTATGCTTACAGTTTCTTATCTCACACTTCTCACTTATGGATCTCCCTCCTGACTATGTTTTCCACCCAACTTTAAACTGCAAAAATTTAAATGCAATGTCAATCACTATTTACTGTTCTCCTGATTGCTGTTTTCTTTTTCCCCTCATTATTAACATTTCTGTTCCTAATTCCTCCACACCCTGTAACCCCTTGTGTGTTAGTGACTGTACTGCCGTGCTTGGAGTGATATATGATTAAAAGTTTGTGACTCAGCTGACTGATGTTACCTTCAGCATTCTGACTCTAGAATTTTATAGGTGGACCTGTTCGTCCACTCTTCAGGAGGTATCAACAATAAGCAGTAAATTGCTGATACCCCCCCTACCGAATAGTTGAAGGATAGTTCTGCCTACAAAATTCTGCAGTTGAGATGCTGAAGGTAACATCAATCAGCTAAGTGACAAATCTTGAATGTCTTTTCTCTTAATATCCCATTGACTGTCAGCATTTTTGGCTTTATACTATCTTTGACATCACTATTATATGCCATTAGTAAGAAGAGTCCGGGGGGGGGGGTAGAAACATTGATATGTTTTCCACTATAAAGAACCAGAAGTATTCATGTTTGAGCAGTTTGAACAGGATCAAATTTATATTAAAAATTTTTCTGCTAATTTAAAAATAATCTTTCCACCCCTAGAAAAAAAAAAATCTCCCCCCACCCCTAGAAAAAACAGCACTGACAGTACATCAGTCTCTGTATGAAGAACTCAGTTTTAAACAAACACACTTGACTTTTGTAGGCGATCTGGGATTGCAAAGGAAATGTTTGTCGCAGATTATTTCCACATCACAAAGAATAAATCACTAACTTCAGACTTTGGAGACAGAAAGAAAATGCTGAAAACTTAATTCGCAAGCACTATTTCACAAATCCCAATGCACGCCACCAGTCAGAAAAATAACTCACTCTCCAACAGCTGTGGCAGCCAAAGTAGCTGACTTTTTCTTTTCCCCCACATTTTCCGTCGTAGAACACACGCGACATGCTGTCGCTTAGTTTGATGAGGTAAGTCGCCGTTTTCTTCAAACAGCCTGGAGCAGCTCTCTTTATCCTGGTGCTTCGTCGTAATGGCACTATTTCCCTTACGCATGTTGGAGAGTCATCTCCTGAGGAGTCATCAGACATATCTCAAGTTTCCTTCTTTATCATATCATACCATTGTTGCGGCACTCTGGTGAGCTTATCCGCTTGATTCTCACTCGACGTTACTAAACTTATCGTGATCAATAAGTTATACTCTTGAATCAGATTTTCAAGAGTACTCAAATGCCTCTGGATCAGCATCTCACTTGCCACCTTAGTTTGTATTTTGGCTTTGCCAGTGAAGCATGTTTAACACCTACTGGTGCACACACGCGGAGTCTGTGAAGAGGTGTAGCTCCGTTGTGCCCCACTGTAATGCTAAATTGACGCCCTTCAGAACAGCATCCAATTCTGATAAATCGATATGTTGGGTGTCCTTCACAGGTCGCAACCAACATGCGTCTTCTACAACGCTTCCGTCAACCTCCAACAAAACCCCTGTGGCGAGAGAACTTGCATCGACCCATATCTCATAAGCGTGTTAAGCTTGTGCAGCACTCACCGTGTGCAGGGTCATTCTGGCGTATTCTTTCCGCTAAGTCCTCGATCATGTTCTTAAGGGGAGCATCTGTCACTTCGTCGCCCCAACCAGACGTGATCGATACTGTCTTGCATTTTACAAATGATGCAGCAATACAAAGCCACCCACACACAGGAACGTGACCCACCAGTTTTCAACCACGAGAAGATGTTACGTCGTGTCAGGACCTCAGGAACTGATGGAATGCCATTTTCACATGTGTGTTGTTATCTTCCGCAACATGCAAACCCAGCACACGTGTGCTGTCCCATAACCGCTCCGGATCCTTGTAGGTCAAACCAAACGCAGCCAAGTGCTCTTTCACACAAGCTGCTGAAATCATGCTCCCGTCAACATAAATGTCATCAATATATGATGAGGTTGCCCGTTGAACGGACTCGCCTTTCGCCAATGTGGCGTCCACAATGGCCTTCATTATGGCTGGTGCAACATTCAACCCAAAACCCATTTGGGTCAAGCATTATCTTCGCCCCTTGAAGATTACAGTTTGAAAGGGCCAAAGTGACTTGTGGATATGTACTTGTAAATAGGCCTGCCGTAGAGGTCAAGGATAGCGACATCCAGTCCTTTTTTACGCCACTCCCTCAGTTTCTGTGCACACACGTCAGCATTGGCTGTGTGCATCAAGACACTCATTCAGCTCTCGATAGTCTAATGCTGGCCACATTTTATTTTTGTTTTTCTGCACCATCGCCATCAACGGAATTAAACCTTTTGGAGGACCGAGTTCCTTTTCAGGATAAGACTGCAACCAACTGTTATCAAGCCAGGTCTGCAGTTCACAGTCACATTCCTCCTTGACTCCCATTGGTATTGGGTACTCGGGCATCTGATTTCGCAAACTCTCCAGTGATCGACCATTAGACCACTTCCATGATGCGACCCATATCTTCTGGTTTGGCTCGAATTCGGCACAGAAATCAGGTTCTTCTATTTTAAGAGCAGTGTAACAGACTATCCCATGCTTGGGAAACTGTACATCACCAGACTGTGTTATTTGGAGTCCGCCCAATTTAATGGCATCGAATCCAAGCAACAGGTCAAAACCCAGTAGTTCTCCATCCACTATCAAGACATCGATTTTGAGGGGGTTTGCATTGTCCACGTCAAGCTTAATACTTCCAACTCCGCAACATTTGAGAGTATTTCCGTTTATGGTGAGTATATTCACCTCTGTTACATGCCAGGATTGACAGGCTGACTTGCTCACGAGTGTCTGTGAGCAGCCAGTGTCCACCAGTGCCACTCTCTTAATTCCGTTCACGTAAATACCCAAGACGGGTAGCGCTTCATTCATAACTCGCTTATGGAAGAGACCGGCACTGACATCTTGTCCCCTTCTTTTCCCTGGACACAATGAAGCAATGTGGCCTACCTCTTGACACCAGAAGCAACGTATTGTTGTGTGTGACTCGCTTGGCTGACAGACATCTTCTCATCGAACCAGGCAGTCCCTGGCAAGGTGATTCCATCCAGAGCATCAGTAACATTGCATATTATCCTGACGTTTAACATTTGGATGTTTATCAGCTCTGATATCCCACCAAATAGACCAGCTAGCTTCTTCAAGTCGGCTAGAAACACGTCGACGGACTCGTCCGGGCATAGTCAGCATTTAGCGAATTGCTTGTAAGCCAAGAAACAATCACGTGCAAAGGCAATCTTTAGGGCTCGTTTTATCTGCTCGACATCTGATTTTTGTTCCGAATTTAACTGCTGGTAAACAGCAAATGTTCCACCCGTCAACCTCTTTAATTCCACACAGGTCACAAACAAGTTCTGCCTTCTCAATCCATTCAGTAACTGCTTGTCCGGTCACTGAACCATCAAACTCAGGTACCAACTTGACGTCAAATGTCTTGTTTGTCATAGTGCCAAAATAGCTTGTAGGTGATCTGGGATTGCAAAGGAAATGTTTGTCGCAGATCATTTCCACATCACAAAGAATAAATCACTAAGTTCAGACTCGAACATTGGAGACAGAAAGAAAATGCTGAAAACTCAATTCGCAAGCACTATTTCACAAATCCCAATGCACGCCACAAATAACTCACTCTCCAACAGCCGTGGCAGCCAAAATAGCTGACTTTTTCTTTTTCCCCACATTTTCCGTCATAGAATACTAGAATACACGCGACACGCTGTCGCTTGGTTTGATGAGGTAAGTCGCCGTTTTCTTTGCTATAACCTTACAACAATAATAACAAAAAAAAAAAATTTCCTTTAAGTTTGCAAAAGTATTTTAATGACTAATTTTGTGCTTTTTTTTTCTTTTAATTAAAACCATTAAAAAATTAGAGCCATGGCAGTACCTAATATACAGTAATAATTATTGACTGTTTTCCAAAATAATACCATCAAAATAAACATGAAACAAAAATGGTTCCATTAAAAGAAAGCAGTAGTTTACCTTCTCCTTGTTTACTATCAGTGTTGGACATTTCATCCCATTTTTGTATCAATTCATCACACACTGCTTCTTTATTATCTTCCTGAAAACCAAATAAAAATATATAATTTAAGCATTATTATACATCTGAATGTAACTTCATTTTATTTCTTATAGTCACACCATTTTGGTCATTGTACTTGCCAGCCACAAACTATTGATTACTGTCGTAGTCAATAGTTTTCTAAGCATTTCTAACTGAACCCTATTCAATCTGCAATTACCGTGTTCTCATTTCACTGTTCATGCTCAGTGATACTCCTTAATATGAAAAAATAGTCTCTAAATAAACGTATAATGATATTTCAACAGTAAGAAAAGAACAAAACAAAATACATTGAAATGATTGAAAGTTCATTTTGATTTGCAGGCCATTCTATTCATTAAAAAAAATAATAACCACATCATTTCCATAAAAATCTAAAATAAAACTAGAATTGAGTTAATCGAGGAATTTTAAGACAATCTTGAATAAAAAATAATTATTTAAAACAAAAATAAATATGATGACCATGAAAATGTAAAATGTTTTCACTTCTAGAATAAGCTGCTTTTTTTTTTTTTTTTTGGTTTGTCAAATGACTCAAATTACGGTGTCTGCTGATTAATGCGCTGGTTCTATATATTTCCATGTTTGAAGGTTAAAAAGTTAAAAGAAAATAATTTGATTATCGTCGAATTTTCACATAACAAACTGAATTATCTCCCTTAGATTGCTTTACCGAGCTTCATATCCTGAGCAACAAAAAATAATAGAGAATATTAGAGAATTAATATATTGGTGGTCACTGAAAAATATTGATTTTTACTTTTTTTTTTTTTTTTTAAAAATAGAGAAAACTATCTGCTCTGAATAGTTAAATCAATCTAACCGAGAAAATTCAGTATTTGGTATGCGAAAAAGTCCTATGTTATTCAATAAATTTTGGTAGCCACCCACTAAACAAACGACGATCACGATAGTGACCAAAAAATGACATCAATTTTCTAAATTTTGTGCAAATGAAGACAGTAATGGTGTCTTTCCTTTTTTTCAGTCATCATCGATTAATTTTAGAGTTCAGTCGAAACATGTGAAAATATTTTTACTTTGAAAATTGGAGAAAAAAAATGTTTTTTATTCACAACACAATGAATTTTCTTGAAAGATTCTTAAATATTTATTTGAAAAAAGTATTGATTGTTAATTTATTAGCGATTATGAAAATCGAATTTTAAAAATGTATTGTAAACGATTTTAAAAATTTGTACAATTCAAGTAAACATGACATATCAATGATAAAAAGATTTGCTTGTCTATAAATTTATTGAGGAGAATTAATTCCACGCTTTCTTTATACACTTGATTGAATTGATTTGTGTTATTAATGTTCGTTTGGGTCGAGTCATTCAGAAGTTTGTAAATGACACTGGCAAAAACAAAAAACGACGACTTCAATTGTCCGAACATGGCTTTAAGAATGTCATAACTTGTTTCTCAATTTCTTTTTTGATAAAAGATATTTTTACAATACGAAGATTAATTGGATTATTGTTATAATTTAAAAACAACCACAATGAATTTTCAGTTTTTTTTTTTGTTGTTGTTGTTTGTTTTTTGTTTTTATCTATTATTCTGTATCCCTAAGTTGACATTATTTATTTATTACCTGGTACCTACAAGAACTTCAGGTTAAATTAAAAAAAAAAAATCATTACTATTTGTCAATTATGGTAACAGCCAATTAAGTCGTCTTTAGCAAATTATAAATGCCCATAGGATTTATTAATGATGATGATGATAATAATAATAACCACGTGGTTTTATCAAATCACCGAATCCCTTTCCTGATTACATTATCAAGAAGAGAAAGGGAGATAATCAGAATCCCAATATTTGTTTAAATCTCCAAACCAAATTTTAGAAAAAAGAAGTTTACATTCATTATCTAAAGGTTTTTATCACTTAATCTTAATATATTTATCAGCAATTAGCATTTTCTTTTAATTTAATGATCTTTGTTTACATTTGTGTCAATGTAAATTGTATAGACTGTTTTTAGTTTTACTACTATTCGCCGTTATCTTTTGTAACATATTTATTGCCAATTTGAATTAATAAGAATTAAGAGTTGAACCGTTCATTAAATACTAAATTAACTTTCTGTAAAAAAATAATATACTAAAAAAAAAGTTAATTCTGAGTTTCAAATTATTTATTTTAGAATATTCAAATTAATAAAATAAATTGCAGTTACAAGCAAAGAAACCCAATAAATCGGGTTCAAAAATGAAAAGAGTTTCTTCATTTGGACTTTTAAAACGGTGTTTCTCAAATCTCATCTTTAAAAGTATGTTGGATTCAAGTTTGAAAAGGAAAAAAAAGTACCAAATGGAAATAAGTGTCATGAGATGAGATGGTCATCATTACAATTATTTAAAAAAAAAAACATTGAAAACGTAGATGTTATGCATTTGAATAATCAAGTACCTAAAACGTGAATATAGAATGTTACACATATTAACAATATTTACAGCTACGAGAAAATGAGAGGAAAAAAAAAACTGAGATAGACAACAAATGTAATCATTCACAACATGCTTCCAAGTCTTGTGAATATTCATTTTAAAAAGTTTTAAAATAGTAACTTTTTGACGTACCGCTATTTCACCGACAATGTCTAACAAGACTTCTTTCTTATCATCGTATCCACTGTATGACTCTAGGATGCCACAAATGTACATGACGAATACACTGACATCAAGGTCGGCATTCAACTGCAGCAATCGGCTTTCAAGCCATTGCATAAATTGATCGCTCTCGTCTCGGCACATGGACGATGCCGCCATGCTGCCAGGCGAATACTGAAACGGAACCGGATACGACAAAGTGCGTCTGCGTACACAACCACTTCCGTTCACTGCAGACGAAATGAATTATAAAAGGAAAGAAAAAGCACGTGGAAAGGAACCTCAAAGTCAAATGTTTGTTTATTGTTTTTTCTTTTAATATCCCGTGAGCAAAATTAACCCCACATAAGATTTCCTATTTACATTATAATTTAAAATAGGTATTGATTTGATCAGATTTAGTTGGATTTTAATTTAATACTTTTAAGCCAAATATTAACAATGTTTCCCTTGCTTGGCTAACTTTTTTTTATGTCCTTTACGCTTGTGTGGTTACCTAACTTGTGAAAACAGTATCCATAAAGCTATGGATTTACAAATGATGATCTAAATAGGTTTTTTTATTAAAGATAATTTATTTACGTCAAAATTATTTCAAAATAACACCTAATTGTAAGTAAAACAATCTTCTGCAAAAGCAGGTAATTGAGAGAAGCTTTAAAAGAAGAATGTTCTTAAAATTTCGCATTGTAGACATTGAAGACTAAGAAGAGTAAGACTTGAAACACTCTTCTTCCAGTTTTAAGCTAAATTTTTAAAAGTAAATTGATGCCTTGTAAATATTTTTAAAAAAGAAAATTTGCTGTTTGTTTACCTTTTAAAAAAACAAAAACTTTTGAAGCTCATAGGTGAAATTTTTTTTTATTTCCGCCATCGCAGATTTTCATGCAAATAGTTTTACTTCACTTCAGTATGCGACAGATGAAACGACTTATGCTACAGTAAAAAAAAAAAAAAAATAAATAAATAAATAAATTAAACTTAATTTTAGAAATTTAATAAAACAAACAACCTCGGTGTGGTGTAATGGTTAGCAAGCTTGGCTTACTAGATCAGTTACTGAAAAGTGAGTTTGATCCTCACTGGATGCCCCATACTTTCGGCCTTGTGCCACATCTAAGCTACGCTTGGAAAATCTCAACAACCAATGTTATCATTTTTTAATTTAATATTCTAACGGTTCAATTGCATTAAAAAAAAGTCACTAACTTAATGATCGGACAAATATTCCTATGACCTTGTCATTACTGAATTGTTCTCGACGTTTGTCTCGAAATAATTGGAGATTACATTCAGCAGTGATGGTCAAATAAATGGTTTACAATGCGGAAAATGGTGTCGCAGAACCGAGTTCAAATTCAAACTGAAGCAGTTTGTGTTCACTGTGTACTAATTTTCCTTCTCTTATGTGCTAAAATTCTTTGCAAGCTAAAGGGAAATCACTCTCAAGAACAATAATAGAAATACACAGATATTAAAGAAAAGGAATTTGTGGAGAGTTGTGGGTATCAATATCCTGACACTTAAGGAAGAGAAGTGACTAATCACTGATTTGACCTATTTGAGAAGGAGGTGAAATCATAAAATTTCTCAAGCCTTATGCTGAACTGAACCTAAAATTTGTGCTGTTAATATTTTCCATGCTAACCATTAAGCAAATTCCTGTTCCACTCATAGACATTCATAAATGCCTCTGAGCCCATTTTTAAGTGAAAAGAACTCCAATACAAATTCTATGTTTATTTTATTTTCTTTATATCTATTTCATTTTGTTTCCGTCTAGTTTTGTTCCTTTCTGTCTTTCTCTGAAACTGAGAAAAGTATGACAATTTGAAGATGAATCAATTTTCCCTGTACAGTGAATTTTATGTGCTCTTGCAGTTATATTGTAAACTCTGTTTAAAATTGAATATTTACTAAGCTTGGCTTAGTATGACAGAAAACCAAATAGATACAGATGAGGAGGGTGAGGAATATCGGATTACATCAATCTCCAAACTGCTGGGAAAATCAACATTTGAAATTTGAGACTTGAATCTTTGATAGTGGTGGGAAATATGTAGCAACATATATATTTACAAGTTTATCTGTACTGTCAAAGAAGTTTTTAATTAACAACTGCATTTCTTATATTTTTTGTATAAATAAGCTCAGGTTTTTATCTATAAAAAGTAACTATTGTCACATGGAAGAAAGAATTCTATTTTATAAATTATTAAAAGTAAAAATATTTAAAGTTAACACAAAAAAAAATAAACAAAATAAAAAGCACTGTATCAGCAGCCTTTCTATTGATATATTCCATTGTTGCCATAGCACGAGATACAGGGCCAGAGTATTCTACCCTCTAATCCAGTCCAATTTGAAAGGGCAAGCCTGCGTGGGGGGCCCAGGCAGTGCTTTGCGACTCTCACTATCTTACCAACATTTGCTTTTTTCTACCTACATTTATATATGTTACAAATTAAACTCTGCACAACTGACTTTTAAAGGTTGAAAAAGTTTTGTGAATTTGGACCTCATTCTGTTTTTTTTTTTTCCTTCAAATCTGTGAAATTGTTTTGTTCATACTAAGTCTTGAAAAAACACTATATAAAATTCTCTATAAAAAACACTATATAAAATTTGCTCTTTCTTTATCTACAATGTTGGATGTGTTAAAGTTATTCAACTTTTTAACAAGAAAAATCTCCAATTCATTTTAAAAATTACCACCAAACATTGTTGATTAAAGATGGAATGATCTATTATGACATATTTCTAATTTGTATTTAGATACATTGTATTTATTTTCAATTTGTCTAGTTGAATTATTCACCTGTATTGCATATGATCCATTATTGTACATAAATTTGTATTTTATATCAATATACTACAGTGTAACCCGGATATAAGAGAGTTGTTGGGACCGGAGAAGAAGTCTCTTATATCCGGGTTTCTCTTATATCCGGGTTTGATCTATTTTATATACATTAACACAGGCTCTAATTTGGGACCAGAGAAAATCTCTCTTATATCCGGGTTACACTGTAACTTCTAAAATTTGAAATATAGTAGAGTGGGTGACCCCATATCATAGATGAAGGGGACATGAGACCTTGTGCTGACCCTGATGAGATATGTTCATTCATAGTCATTTGTTCATACCTTTTGTTATCATAACAACAGAATATCTCATTACTAAAACAAAGATATTAGGCTATATGACCAATGAATATATACAGTTACATTCTGCTTTATACTATAGAATATGTATTGTTTTCCTTACTAATATGTATAATGTGTAATATGGCTTAATTTTTCTTATTTTACAGGTTTCAATTTATTTTTTACTTGAATAATTGTTATTCCATACGACTTTCACTATTATGGTCCTAAAATTATAGGAGCACATTGAAAAAAGAAAATGTCATGTCTTTTCTGTTGTCTTCTGTGACAGCTGCTTTTAATCTGACCAAATTTTACTCAAAGCCAAATTTTGCATGTTTGAAGAAACTTAGAAATGGGCATGCCTATTTCAGGAATAATTCTACTGTACCAAGTTCCAAACCAGTCTTGCATAAAGTCATTGTATCACAATCAAATGATATCTTTGAGAATTTAGCTTTGGAGGAATGGCTGTACCGCCATCTAAACTTTGAGGAATGTTCCTATTTGTTAATGTGGAGGAATCACCCGACTGTGGTGATTGGCAGGCACCAAAATGCATGGAAGGAAACAAACATCCCACTATTACAAACTGCAGGAGCAGCTCTGGCTCGGCGTTATTCTGGAGGAGGCGCCGTCTACCATGATCTTGGCAACATCAATTTCTCATTTTTAACATCGAGAAAACAATACAATCGAAAGTGGAATTTAAGTGTTGTAGTCAGTGCCTTATATGATAGATGGATGTTAGACTTGAGTGTAAACAAGCGAGACTGTATCATGTGGAACAACCTATACAAGGTAAGGAATTCTTTGATATCAATAATCAATATTATTAGCAATGGCAGTAGCCTGTTATGAAATTCTTTTATGTTGTTGGGTTGTTAATTTATAATGGGCCCCTACCTTGAGGAGCTCCCAAACATATAAATCTTAGGTAGTGAAGCAGTGGTTCCTAAACCATTTTTTTTTTGTTTGGGCTGTATTTTTGGAATTAAAAATTGCTTGCACCTCACCAAATTTTATGTGATAAATAGTACATAGATGTATGAAGACACTGGCTCAGGGGAAAGAAAGTCCTGTTGAAAAGATGCAAGCAGCCCTACAGCAAAGAAGGTTCAGAGAGGATTAAAGGGAGATAACTGCAGATTTGAAGTCAGAACATTAACATTGATAACTCTCTCCTCCAATTTGTAGATCCTAGTTACTATATTCTTAATAATTGATATAATGCAAAAATATCACTATGATAAAAATCAGTCAATAATTATTGATAAATATTTATACTGGGACTCATGAATACAATTACAAGTAATCCATAATAATTTTTTATATTTTGAAATCATATTTATTTATGGCATATGAATTTTTTGAAACCGTTTTTAAATCTTTGATTGTCTTTCAATCATTCTGCTTCACCTGCTATCCTTTTCCGCTGCACCTGCTATCCTCTTCCGCTGCACCTATGAGGCACACCACACCATTTGGGAAGCACTGTGCTAAGGAGAAATAAAAGGAGAGGTGAAAAAATACATTTATTATATGTTTATTAACTGTAACAATGCAAAAGAACAATAAAACATGACATAGACATTGTATTTACAATAGGTAAGGTTTGCACTCTAAAAGATAACGTTTAAATTAAGGTGAGGTCATCAGGTACCATCTAGGAATTGTTCCCCATTGGTATGAATCTGGATGTTGGTGATGACATGTATTGCTCCAACCTCTTCTCAGGACCAGAGTGAAGTCTCTTACTGCACCAAGGGACGTAATTAATCTTGGTTGTCCCTAACTCACCTCAATTAACTGCTTACTAAGCAAGGGTTTCTATCAAAAACCCTAAAATTTCTTATTGAAAGAATTATGGATTCTAGATATTAGGTGGAGTCATAAATAATTTCCATTCTTGCTTCACAACTTTACTCTACAAAAGATTAGAATAAGATTTTATTCAATTATATATTCACATTTTATGAGAGAAACATTTTTGTCTTTTATCAGCATGGCTGATGCTAACCTCCTGGAGAGTGACTCATTGTGCCTTCATGGACTAATGTTTTTCACTGACATGAAGTACAAAGATTATATTGGATCAATTGCTAGGTCTGATGTGTCATGTTAGACAATTTTTCTTCCCAGAATCTATCTTACAAATTTATAACTCTATTATTCATCCATGTGTTAAATATTGTTGTTACATCTAGTCTGGTGCTTCTGGTTTTTTTTGTGTTTTGTTTTTTTTAGAGATTCTTGATATAATACAAAGAAGAATCTGTGATGTTATTGGTCCTGACCTGGCATCTCAGCTTCAGTCACTCTCTCACCACCATAACATATCTTGCCTGTGCCTTTTCTATAAATATTTTCATGGTAATTGTTTTGATGAGCTTTCCTCTATGGTACCTAGACTTTATTAATTTAAACGCAGTACTAGATTGGCAACTAGATCTCATAATTTCATTATTGAAATTGCTACTTGTAACCATCAGTTCTATACTAGCAGTTTCTTTTCTCACTCATGGAGCTCGTTTCCAGCTTCTTGCTTTCCTGTCAACTTTGATCTTCAAAAATTTAATTGCAGTGTCAATCGCTATCTTCCGTCTTTTTAATTCCTGTTCTTTTATTGTTCTCTCTCCTTAATAATGTTTTCTTTTCTCATCTCACTTGCATTTTAGTGGCTTTATTGCTTTGCTTGGGGTAAAATAATTAAAGAAATAGACATATGTCTAGATTATTCAACCAAACATGTTTGAATCAATATATATGTATATATATATATATATATATATATATATATATATATAGTTTTAAGGTGTGATATTTATGGGATAAAGTGCTCAATATCAGAGATAGAATGTATGTAAATATAAAAGTGAACATTGAAGTCAACACTCAGAGGCAACAGGCTGTTTCATGCTAGACACAATCGTCAGGCCACGTGTGTTGGTTTTTTTCTCAACTATTTATATATATGGGTCAGTGGTGCCTTGTGGGTAGGCACAAATAATAAAAAAACACAACAGAAAAACTTTCAACAAACCACCTGAGCAAATTAAACCCATGCGTAACTGCAGAATAAAGAATGAATATCCTTTAAACGGTAATTGCTTAAAAAACAATGTAATATACCAAGCCACAGTAAAATCACCAGATAATGAAGAAAAAATAAACATAGGAGTAACTGAAGGACCCTGGAAACAAAGAAATTTTGCACGCAAAACATCTTTCACAAATAGTAAATATGTGAACAGCACAATGCTTTTTAAGTATATCTGGGAAATTAAAAACAAAATGCAAATCACACCAAAAATATCATGGAAAATAAGGAAAAGATCATCAGCCTACAGCAATCAATCTAAAACCTGCAAACTTTGTTTGGAGGAAAAAATAGCTATTATTACCTACCCAGACCGAAATAAATTACAAAATAAATGATTTGAACTCATCTCAAAATGCAGACATGAAAACAAATTTTTACTACGTTGCTTAAAAATCGAAAACTGAAAAGACTAAATAAAAATAGACAAAATAATAAAAAAAACAAATAAAGTAAATTAACCCAAGCAAATAATAAACAAATTAACAAACCACTCCCATTAGGATAGACGAAATAGAATAAATAAAAATAAAAAAAAAAAAATAATCAATCCAAATAAATAAATAAAGTAAATATTGAACAAATTAACAAACTGATCCCACCAAAATAGCTGTTAGAATAGACTACAACAATCAATACAAAAATTGGATGAAAAAAATAGCTATAACTGCTATATAAATGATAAAAAAAAAACTGTTACTTAAAGATCGAAAACAGAAAATAAAAAAAAAAAAATAAATAAGAAAAAACAAGTAAAATAAATGAATCCAAATAAATAAAGAAACAAAATAACCGCTCCAGCTAAAATAACTGTTAAAATAAATAAAAATAAATAAGCAAAAGCAAGTAAAAATAATCAATCCAAATAAATAAATAAAATAATAAACAAATTAAAAAACTGCCCCCTACCCCCACCAAAATAACAGAATAGGCTACAGCAATCGATCAAAAAATTAGACAAAAAATAGCTTTAATTACCTTTCCAGACAAAACAAACTATTAAATAAATGATCTAAACAAATCTAAAAATTTTTTTACTACATTAATAAAACATCAAAAACCAAAAAGCATAAATAAATATATAAAATAAAGATAAAAATAAATAAAAAACAACCCAAATAAATAAAACACTCCCACCAAAATAACCACCAGAATGGACTACCCACAATGCACCACTGACCTGTATATATAAATAGTAAAAAAAAAAAACAACACACGTGGCCTGACGATTGTGTCTAGCATGAAACAGCTGGTCACCTCTGAGTGTTGACTTTAATTTACACACACACACACACACACACATATATATATATATATATGATTAATACAACTATAAAATTTGTCACTTAGCTGACTGATGTTACCTTCAGCATCCCAACAGACAGATCCTCCAGCAACTGCCCCACCCACTCATCAGGGATATCAGCAATTGACTATTTTCTCGTTTTTCATTTATATCAAGTTAAAAAAATAATTTATGCACTTTTCATTGGTACAAGGTTATTTTTTTTCTTCTTTCATTGTGTGTGTATGCATCGATATGTGCATATGACAAAATAAAAAATGTTTTTATATGATAAATTTCGTCCTTTAGGACTTCATCAGATGAAAGTGATGTAACGTTGATGTAACTACACATTCTTGATATATAAAAATTTATATATTAAAAGTAAAAAATTATCTGTTCTCTTGTCTAAAGATATATTATGGCAAAAGTATGGATAATGTTTGACTTACCTTTATATAGAAACATGGAACAACAGAGAAAAATATAATTGTGTGTATACAGATAGGCAGACCTCATAACAAAGAAAGAAAAACATGGATTTAGTAGTTATGTTATTTAGTTAATAGTTATTTAGTGCTATGTGGTAGGGTTTAAATTAAGTAGTTGATTTGCTGATAGCTGTTTCTCCATAGGGGATACTGGACATCTTTTACCTACTGTATCCTATGGGTGAGAGAGTGAGAAAGAGAAAGTGAGTCCTTTCCTTTTATACTGCTGACTGCCATATTACCTTGTATTGTTAAGTGAAGACCATTGGCAGACAAAGTGGGGTAATCTTGTGGCATAATTATAAGACTTTTGATATATGAAAACCCTAACCCTATTCCACTGATGCCCATCAAAAGTCCTTACAGGAATGAAGCTTTGGATTAGATGTTGATATAAATTTTTGGATTACTTTAACCCTGCGTTAATCACCCTGGATTTCCAAAAATGGTTAGTCCCCTGGGGTGTTTACACATCCCAATACAAAAATTCTTATAGTGTTATAATTATATAAAATATTGTCATACTGCTGGAAAAATAACCTAACAGGTAAATCTCTGTTACAAAAAACATTAAATCAAAATTTGAACTGAAAATATAATTATTCAGTGAAATGAAAATTATAATAAATTTGTTGTATAAAAAAATAGCGACAATATATTTCTATGAATAGAAAGATATTACATTAGGTAAACTCCACAAAAAAACAATGTCCTTCAAAAACACCAGAAGACAAATAGGAGAGAGCTCGAAGAAAAGCCATAGCTCTCTATCCCCTGAATCATCCTAACCTATCATGCGGTGGCTGTGGACGTCTCTTCAGATCTAACATTGAACTCATTAACGCACAGAAGGGTATGTTGATGAGCACCCCCAATACTCAGCAATAAGTTCCACCAACGATAATGATGATATAAAATATAAATC